TAACACTTGACATGCCAGTATTTCGGTATAATCTGAAACCACCACAGATCTCGTCTTCTTGGATTTCGAGCAGATCTAGATCTAGATTACTATGCTAATTAGGAAACTATTAGACAATATAGCAATAGCCTAAAACATTGATATAACAATAAGTAGCAAGAATAACATGTTTATACTATGACTAGCTTTTCCCCGCGGCTTCGCTCGCGTTAATTTATCCCCTTAGGGGTGGAATTTATCAAAATGCTTTCTTAGGGGATGCCTACGTCATAGTAGCGTTATGCATACAGAGTCTCAGCCCGATTGGTTTAAAATTGACAAAGTTTCATACAAACTTTCATCCCCTATTTTAATTTATCAAAATCCTTTCTTTCTATGCCTCAACATCAACATCTACCTGCATGCCAAATTTCAGCCCGATCCGTCCAGTGGTTTGGGCTGTGCGTTGATAGATCACTATGTTAGTCACCTTTGACTTCTCTATATCTATATATATATATATAGATGGTGGAAAACAAGTACCTACGCGTTGGCACGAAACACAAGGAATTTATTTTTTTATTTTTGTAATTTTCAAGCTAAAATATGCATTACTTAGTTAATTTTATAAGTGGAGTTTGAACGTTGCCCACTTAGAATTAGAAATCAATTTTTTAAGGCGTCATATTCTACAAATAGTATAGTGGTTTAAATCACGAATTCATACTACATGTCATCATGAGAAACCTAATTACTTATTTCAAATTAGTGTCAGGTCTATAGCGACACTTCGATAGGTTTAAACACCATATATAAAGTCTATTATTATGTACAATGTAATATCAAATATATTTGTATTTCAGAATATACTTAAAAAAATACTATAAATTTCATTTAAATCTAGTTTCAGCCATTTAGCCTGGGTGACCCACGATTGACTGAGATAAATGCTTTATATACCAAATGTCAAATCTATACGAAATTTCGTGGTAATTGATTAAAAGCTTATTGCCTGAAATCATAACAAACTATTTCGAATTTAATTATAAATACGGCCCTTCCTGGCTTCGCACAAATGCATTATAAACCTTCGAATTTCGGCTTGTTCTACACTATAACAAGCATGTATTATATACATATAAACCTTCCTCTTGAATCACTCTATCTATTGCTGAAAACTCCATTAAAATCAGTTGTGTAATTTAAAAGATATAAGCGAACAGAGAGCGGCGACTTTTGTACTGTTTTTTTAATACATAATTATGTAAATATAAGGATGATCCTAGACAATAAAAGTTTGTTTTCTAAATAATCTATTTCTATATATAAAATACGCAATTGAGTGTTACCATATAATATAATATTATCTTATCTGTGCTATTACTAAATATACTGCTCATTATATTACAAACAATGCGAAAAGGAGGTTATTTCTTACGAAGAGGTTTATTTAAATAAGTTAGTAAATTTAACTTGTTTTTAATTACAAACTTTACAAGTTGCCTAATAGTGGTTTTATGGTGACTTAAGAGTTAATCGCGACTTTGACTGTCCACACATTCATCCCTTATTTCACCCCTTCATGTTTTTTTAGGATGAAAGTAATCCTATGTCCTTCCTAGTGAAATACAGAGAGCATTTCACATTAAATTCTCTTAAGATTAGTTCTGCCATTTAGTTGCGATAGAGTAACATACAGACATATAGAAAGTTTATTTTTTGATATTAGGATATTACTATGTTTTTTCTGTGTGTAATATTTTCAGTATATTTTTTATCCGTTGTTCATTATCCTTTTTAATATGATTCATACCTTCAAAACGCAATTATTTTGTTTTGGTCTTATGAAAATACTGCGTATATTACTCAACAGTGGAATTGAACTTGATACCACCCAATTACCACGCACTAGGTTACAGTACGAATATAGTTGTAAACATAATTAAAAGGCTACCTACCCGACAATTTATGCAATTACTTTATTTACCAGACAAGACCAGTACGCAATACCCTGTCACGTGATACAGAAGAAAAAATCTGGTGATATGTGAACGTATGACACAAACTGGCCTCGGTGGTCTAGCGGTTTATTCACCAACTTAATATCCTATGGTCGCAGGTTCGGTTCTTCGCACATTGCAAACATTTGTATTCATGAGTATGATTTTTAAAATAAATACCATTAAGCCGCATTGCATATCTCATCCATACAAAAATGTTACTTATATATTTTCTACAAAAACTAATTAAATTAAATAAAATATTGTCCATAGAATAATGCAACTAATACCAACGGTTAACTTTAGTTATATTTTCTTTATACAAGTTTGTTTTAGAATTACACGTTACTTAAAAACTCAAATGTTACCAAAAAACCTATATTTAATGTATTCGCCTTATACAATCTAATAAATAGTAACAAAAAATAAAATGTGCATGACACTGGAATTATAATGAAATTTCAGAATAATGAAAAGAATACCTATATTTATTGTAAAAATAGAGAAACTCGAGTAGAGCGGAACATAAATATTTACGGCAATATTTCGATTGAAAGTATTGCTATGGTGCTTATGTGAGGGGAGACAACAGATCTCTGAATAGAGACAGTACGAAAAATGAATATTAATATAGCAATATTATAGCATGGACACAATCCTCTTAAATAAATCGGTAATGCTAAATAGTCAGTAATCGCTTTTTTCTAAATAAAGTAACATATAACATACAATATGAAATTATAATCGAGTCAGTTATTCAATAAAATATACAAAAGTGATGGTTCGTACAAAATCATTAATTGCATTAAATATATGCCTTTTAATAGCTTTTTTCCCTACAACTTCATATTAGTCGTACATTCTTATTGACATTGTCCATGATTTTGAGATGACTGGTTACAAGCGAAAGCTACCATTACCGCCCTCTGTGGACACCAGTTTGAACTATCACTGAATTGAAGCACATGAGACGGAATAGTAAAGACTGTCCGAAGATATGTCTCAAAATATATTATAATATATTTTATCGAACTGTTCTAATGCTGTTGACCGCATATGGCCGATATGCAGATAGACTTATGGAGCGGCTGAAGGACAACTCCTGTGTGACAGATACAACTTTAGTCTGACGGGTGCCCTCAGACTAAGACAGTTAGGGACTCAAACCTCGACCCATACCATCGTAATCCTATGGATTATATTTTATACTTGTTTTATTTTGAAAATGTAATTTAAGAAATGTAAAGAATATAGCTGACAAACAGAAAAACGAAATGATACCATAATATAATGGTTAAAAGATTTTTATTGGAAACAAATTAAATGGCTTGTTTTTAATATACATTATTACGACTAATAAAATAAACAGAAAATACACAAAAAAATCAAATATATATGTTTATATATATTACATAGTAACATTTTAAAATAACAAACAACTGTTTCAAAACCAGTATTATGTTCGTGAATATATCACCAGCAATTCTTGAAACGTTGAAAGAATTCAATAATTCTCCATTCCCTTATTTTGGTAGTAAAATATGAAATTATATTCAAGGTTCACCACGTTGCTGTAACCAAGTTTATACACATTAAAAATGTGTATGCTTATTCATTACTAGATGTTGAAGGTCTTAAGATATATTGCAAAACCACAATATCGTGTGCACCGAGTTTCTCGGCGGAAAGACATTCGGTTATTTATTGCACAATGTCTATTATTAATTTTTGTATGTAAATAATAATTTTATATGTAATTGGAAGAATACATAAAATTATATTTATACAATATATATTACATTTTGCAATATAAATAAAGGTGTATTCCCTATAATGGCTAAGTTAACGCAATGTCAAAATGTTTTTCCTTTTTTGTCATTTTCTATTAAAACATTTGATACACAAGTACTGTTGTAAAATTAATAATTATTGTTTGCTTGTTGTTGTTTGCTACAATTTGTTTCCTGTTCTATGGTTTCAGAAAAAAATAACTTTTTTAATTCCATTAATTTTTATTCTCATGTATACTCCATGTCAATTTTATTAAGACACTTTTATTTCTTATATGTATAACGAATTTTTAAATACACCACTTATTAGTTGGAAAACGGCTGTTTAATTTAAACAATCGCGTACTTAATTACAAAGTCATATCAAATAGAGTAAGCTCAGCGTCTCTGTAATACATAAGGTTGTGAATTGTATATCAGAATGTTTGTTACTTATGGCCTTGTGGTTTCGTGGGAGTGAGAGCGATTGTGATTGGTGAAACTGCGCGGTCCATTCAATTGTGGTTTGGATATCGACGCCGGCGCACTTTCGCGCAAGCTCACGGTCAGGTTTTCGCTTTCGTTGATCGAAATGAGATGCGCGCGTGAGTGCGCGTACCGTTATTGATCTCTAAAAATTTTTTTATTTTATAAATAATATAATTTTGAAGAATAAAAAAACAATGGTGCTTTACATCGACGAAAGGCGACGGTATAAAAAAATTTATTTAATTTTTACTTCGTTTGGTTATAAAATTTAATAAAAAAAATAAGTGCTGTTAAATATAACGTCTTTCTATATTCAGTAGTCATATAAAAAACATATAGTTTGTGAGATTATTACACGTCAAAATATATAATTAATTTATATATTTATAAATTTTTATTATATGTAATTTCTGCTTATAAATTATATTAATGAGTTTATATTTTTCCTTTTAACAAATAATTATAAAAAAATATCTACTGAAATATTTTTATTTTTCTTATTACATATTTAACATATAAATTAATTTCTCGATTTACAATATATATTTTCGTGCAAAATTGAGAATAGAACCCTGACTATATATAGACATGTGTAAATGAATATTTACAAATTATGAAATTATTTATTTATTTAATTAATCTTTGTTTATTTGCAGGTGACAGCTTGCTAGGTGCAAATTGTTAACGGTGAACTGTGCGGGAAACTTTATTGCTAACAAATGTTAGTAGTGTGAAGTGACAGTGCCTAGTGTGAAACATACATATTCTCGTAGTGTTTAGTTGTGACATTGGAAGAAAGGAACATTCAAAATGTCGGGTTTTGTGAAATTAGCTATTGACGACTACTACTCAGATAGTAATTGGACGACCATTATCAATAAGTACTGGATGTTAGCTGAAAAGGTTTCAGGTATTTATACCCTTTTTTTAATATAATACTATATAAACTTTATCCATACTAACATTAAATGAAATAGAGAAAACTACAAGCATGATTTCTGAATGTAAACCATCTATAATGAATGCGAAAGCGTGTCTGTCTGCATGTATGTTTATTCGTTTCTAAATAGAACTTAATGAAATTTTATAAAAATATAGATAGTTTAATTACATAAAATAAAACATGAAATAAATATTTCAAATCGCTACTTTTAAACTTTCACATTTAATACATATTCTCGATGATAAGACTACAATATTAGTACTTGAGAACTGTATTATTTTTTTCGAAAAGTATATACCATGTTTAACTATATAATTATTCATTTCTATACTTGAAATGTTGACGTCTAGACCAGATTATAGGACAATGTAACATATGGCCACCTTATATTATATTAAATAGATTTGTTATCATTATTGCTATTGTCATACATGAAATTTTTATTATCTTTCATATTCGAACTCTTTATGGATCTAAAAGTCGGACACTGGGTCACGACGCTCTCCACTAAATTTCATAAATATATTCAAATCAAACACCTACAGATATAGATAACATTATGAGAATTCTAAATAATATATATAAGTGAATATAGTATGAGAATATTTATTATTAAAATGGATGCTGCGAAATATTCTCTTTTATGATTGAAATGAGTCTTTTGCAACAAAATCTCTGTGTATAAATGAACGGATGAGACCTATATTTTCTATTACATATTTTTATGATAGTCTAGCCAATCTAGTATCAAACTAACCCATACTTACCTAGGGTTATTTAGCTATAAAAAAATTATATGTAATGCAATTAATTGAGAGCCCATAAACTTATTTAGATATAAAAATATTTGTTGGGGTAATCAAACTCATCAAAAAAAGGAGAATCAAAGTGTTAAAGCAATCTTGTAACGTCCTAGACATTCACAATAAGATTTCAAATACATTTTTATTACAGAATTTTCTAAACAAGTTCTAAAAACTAGGCAAATGATTATCACTTTCTCGTGCGTAACAAAGCATGACTAGCTTTTTGCTGCTAACTCTGAAAATGTTCTCTTCGACTTGACCCTGACCATTCAGATATTTACCACTTTCAAGCACAACTACTACTGCTTTGCCTAAAAGCTAAATAAAAATAAGATTTCTCAATATGGACAATTTTAACTTGAATAAGTAACATGGAGGGTGATATTATTAAAGTTTTAGTAGAGTACTTTTTCTAACAAATATATTATTCTAGAATAATACAGCATTCTATTGATGAAAGAATTTTCGATATCGATTCAGTAATTTTTGAAATTATTCATTCACTACAAAGATACAAAAATTCAAATCTTTCCGGTTTGTTACATTAGTATTTTTTTACATACTAGAATTGTTATAAAGTTTAGTAAGTCGAAAGCCAAATAGAACACTCATAATACAAACCACTTTCACCAAGAAACAGAATGAAAATCTGAAAATGTTTATACCTAGTTAAAAAATATTTGCTTCATTCCACTTTCATTTTTTGGGAAATTTCGTTAAATATAACAAAAGCATCTATTAACAAAATAATTTTAAAAATTTCCATGTGAACAGGAAATAAATAGAATCGCAAAGGTAAATTCATTAATGAATAAATTATTTCACGATCTAAATTAAAGTTCTAATTCAGCTGAAATAGTAAAATTCTGATCACCCTGCCTATACGTGACTTATCTCATAATTACCGATTATGACTATTGGGTCAAGGTAAATGTAGGAAAGGTACTATTGACCATAAAACAATAGCGTTTTATTCCCTTATTAATATGCAGCTAAACAAATTATTATTCTCATAATTATTGAAACATTGAAGAGTATAAACCGATATATAAAATGGCATTGAACTGTATCCATCTATTTCCTTAGGTACATTGCTATATTCTGCTAGTAAGTAATCTCACCCAAAAAATTAGTGCTTGTTGGTAGTTTGTATTCACACGTTTCGACTTGTAAATGTAAACTTACAAGGATTATTTAAAAGAGCAATACACAAGTTTCTTGCTCGTTCTTCTTGTGATGAGACTGCTTTCCGAACGAGTGGTAGATAAAAAACAAATTGTTATGACTATTAAAAAGTGCTTAAATTAAGTTTATTTGAATTAATGATTTTCTATTCTATTCTATTCTCCTTTCACTGAGTAATTAGGATTCATTTCTCATGATTCAGTACTTGTTCTTCTCATATTCAAGAACTTCACTTCTTATATTCATGAAATAGAGTGATGTTCACGCAAATTACTTCAAACCATAACTTTTTCAGCTTGACCACACTGTAAAAACTATATCACCATTCTACCTCTCATTCTATTAGGTGTAATGATTAACTTGGGTTGTAACACTACAAATACTTTCACATTTCGATTTCACAGCACAACCAACTCATTTTTTAATGACGTGTTTTAAACAAATATTTTTAAATTGCAAAGTACATTATAATTACTACGATAACTACCGCTATACGGTAATCAAAATAAATTAAGCACTTTGGTACAATTAAAAAGACTTGAATCATCTTAATATTGATAAAGATCTTTGTGAAAGACCACGCTGTTCATATATTTTAAAATGGACCACGAATACCAAATAGACTGTGCTATAGAGGAAAAAGCATGGTTATGGAGGAAGTGAGCGTATAGAATACTTAAAAATTAGGTTTCGTATTTCTTTTTTTAATTAAAAAATATGTTTTACAATTAAACTTAATACCTTGATTTCACTTTTCACAAAGAAATGATGATATAAAATGATGATAAAATATGCATTTGCAAATTGCATCAATGATAAATAAATATCACATAAAAGTGTATTTTTAAAAACAAATAATTACTTCCGTGAAATAATGCAGATTGTATAAATGTCACATAAAAATGTATTTTTCAAAAACAAATATTGACTTCCGTGAAATAATGAACAGCCGCAGTGGTACAGGGGTTTAGTATTCTTCCTTAATTCTGTCGGTCGAGGGTTTAATTCTAATACGATATAAGCATTCGTTACTGTGATTGTTTGTATTGATTTGGGCATTTTTTATGTGTATTATGTATGTATTTACAAAAAGATATACATTATTAAATATTTCTATCAATTCTACAGTGCGCTTAATACAATTTCTGAATAGTTTGGTCTGCTAGATGACGCTGTGTTAATATAATTATTAACTGGAATTAAATCAATTATCAATACTAAGTCATCGATATATAAGGTTACTATTTTATTGCTAGTGACATACCCTAACTTTTGTGCGAGTTGATTAAAATTTTATTATGAAGTACATGATTTTTTTCATATGGAAAGTGTTTGTGTGTGATTTTAAGTATATGATATTATTTTAGATATTGCTTACGCATGTAGAATACAAATTTATAGATCTAAAGCATTATTGTAGGTTAAATTTTCTAGTTGTAAATATTTAACATTAAAAGATATAGTCCATATTACTCTCTAATATTGCTTTCTATAAGTGAAAGAATTCATGAAATCAGTTAACTATTTTTTTGTTCACCTATTACAAGTACCAAATCAAATCTTTCCTTTCATATCATTAGTATAGACTGAAGGCTGTAACGTTTTCTTTACTATTTTTCAACGCAGCTATAATGATTGTGCCAAAAGCCTATCATTAGTTCTGGTCTTGATTATAGTATTAATAGGTTTTGCATATGTTTTTTAATAATACTATTCTATATTAAATGACTACCTGGCCTATAATATATGGTTTTAATTAGGTACTTAACATTTATTACTGTTGAATAAAAGATGGTTTCAGCTTCAACGTTTACTTATGAACTGAAGGGAACTAACACAGTGTAATACTACCCTATATCTATACATATAAATAAAATTGGAGCGTCTGTTTGTAATATTGAAATAACCGTTTTTACTACATGCATATGAGTATAAATACGATACATACACCAAAATAACATTTTTTACAATGTTTGTCTGTCTGTCTGTTTTTTCGGCTAATCTCTGAAATGGCTGGACCGATTTTGACGGGACTTTTATTGGCAGGTAGCTGATGTAATAAGGAATAACTTAGGCTACTTTTATCTTAGAAAAATAAAGTTATATTCCACGCGGACGAAGTCGCGTGTACAGCTAGTTATTTATAAATTTGGCCACAATATAGCAATTATCCAATAATTGTGATAATAAATTGATAATATTGAGCAGCATATTTTTGTTCTGTTCTTTCACTGTGCTTTTTCGATCTGAACATTATTTTCTCTAGTTGTTTCTTTTTCATAAAATAAACTCGTAATAAGTGTCCGAGATTGTATCACTGTTAGATATTGCTGCCTAATTTGAATAATACTAGCTTAGTTTAGATAATGACTAGTTTTGTTTGCTAATAATAAATTGAAAAGCAACGGCTTTAGTTTATTTTTATATTCTATTATTTATTTTCTTTATCTTCTCATTATTCTTCTTATCTTATTTCTATTCTTTATCGATAAATAAAACCTGCGTTTAAAGGAAGTCTCTCGTTGAAATCTTTCCGACTGGTAGACATGACTTGTATGATTAAAACAATAAATACTAACATAAATCCTAACTTTAGTATTAGAGTATGTACAATATATGATGTTGTAACTTGTAAACTTGTATTGCATTTTGATAATGCAGTTTGACGGATCGCACTGAAGAAATTCATTAGATGATAGTGAAAACCATATCTTATAGAGCACAGTAACAGATAGATAAAAATAGCGACTTCTCTTCACACTATAAAAAAAATAAGTTAAAGGGAAAGAATAGCTTCTAATAAAAACTGTTGTGCTAAAAATAGAAAACAATTTAAAAGTCCGACCTGTCAAAAATAGACTGAATAATTGAAAAATAGTAAATTAGGACCACAAAATACTCATATTATAGTTTTATTGTTACCATATTATCCACAATGAGCCGATGAGTGACTCAATTGAAGCTTTCGGAACGCCTTTCACTTTACTCTCGATTGATAAGATTGCTAATAATTATTATAATAATAGAATGAAAATAAAAATAAGTAAAACTAACAAGTACACTATCGGAATAAATTATAAATTTGTCAATAGTTACAATTGATATGAAATATCTTAGTAGTATTATAAACACGAAAGGAATTTTGATGAAACTATACAATAATATAACTTATACATCTGAATCATTACAAATAAATATGTCCCTATATATGCTAAATGTTTAAAACTTTTGATTTTGAAACTTTTTTTAATAGATAATATTCAAGAGGAAGGTTTATATTTATAATACAGAATAATATATAGAGAAACTATAATTTAAAAAGATATTTAGTATCAATTGGGCGGAGCCGGGGCGCGTCGCTAGTAACATATAATATATAATGTAATGATAAATAAATGTCAAGTAAGTGTGATACAGCCTTAGTTGCAGGGTCAGCTATTTAATGGTATATCTGAAGATAATAAAATATTAAATGTTTTAACAGAAATTCCTACTATAACATCTACTGAAATTTATAATTCAAATTAAATCAAAATATATTGATTCGTATAGGTCTATTACAGACTCTTATGATATGTCAAAACTTCCGTCGTTTTCCGATATTGCAGTGCATAGTGGTATCTTTATGTTTTGTTGATGTATCAGGTGATAGTTATGAATTACTACTTACGTGCAGGTGGGTACATTTCGTCGCCAGCTTGTTTGCCATAATGATATAATTAAAAAAAAACTTGAGTTAGATCTATAATGCAAGGAGTAGGGATTAAAAGTTGACTTATTTCTGAGAACATAACCTTATTTACATCAGTAAAATTTTCATAGAGCCCCATTGGTATAGGGTCGATAAGGACTGCCGGATTCTAACGAACAAATAACTTGGGAACGCTTCCGCATTCGCCAAAACGCAGGATGGTTTTCGTCAAAGAGACCTCACTTCTAAATTTTTATCACTGTTAAACAATGAAAAAATCGTTAGTTAATGTATAAATACATCGTTATCCAGTATTGAGGTTGCATATTTACAAAATTGTTATATACATCTTCTTTACGTTTAAACTTCACGGTGCATCAAAAGAAAGTGTGTAATTACGCCAACGTATGGTCATGCTACTCGACGATAATAATATATAATTTTATTAATAATATGTATCTGTATATTATGATATGTTAATAGCATAGTATGTAATAAAAATTTGTATATATGTTGATAATTGAATAAAAAGAAATCACAGATTCAATCCGAGCTGTTGAACCAAATGCACTTAGCATTTATATTTCAAGTTTAAAAAAATTTCAATTATTTTATGATATGTAACTATATACAGCTCAGATTACTATTATGATACATACTAGCTGTTGCATGAGGCATTGCACGTGTAGTATCATTAAGTTGAAATTAATAATAATATTAAAATCCATTTAAATCATATAAACAAATAAATAATAAAATATCTTCATGACTAACATCCTAGAGAGGTAGTCAAAAACAAACACTACAATACATATGTATTGTAGTGTTTTTGTGAATGCAATACTTTCCAGGCCCATGTTTCTCCGAGAACACATCAATTATATATAGTAAATACAGTGACCTGTCGTCTTCTCCGGAATTAAAGTAATTTGTTATCAGTATTTTCATAACCAGATAAAAATCCTTGATTGTCAATTTGATTGGCATGGAAGGGAGCGTGCAGCTCAGGACCGATCGTCGTGGAGATCCTTGGACGTCTTCCGGGCTGAGATGATGAAATATAAATTGACAATCAAAGATTTTTGAAACCAACCATATTTTTTTTCAAACAACTCTATTGCTGTTGCTCTATTGTTGAATGCATATAGCACTCCAATTCCGCGTAAGGACTTCTGGAGCGACTGAAGGCCAACTTCCTCCTAACAGATACGACTTTAGTCTGAGAGCACTGCTAAGGGTTCGAATCTCGGCTCGGGCCGTCATATCCGTTTGAAGTCAACTACACTCGAACCTTGACTGTACATTGAGGTGTTAACCACTATTATACTATAGATTTCATCCATAAAAGTATACAAATACGCTTGTATTAAAATATCCGTACAATTATAAGATGTAACATCTCATTTTAAGTGTAATGTGAAAGCATAACATCTCATAATTGCTGAGATACATGAACTAGGTTACGTGCGGTTATTAATTTAAAACATATACCAACATTACCTGTGTAACAGTTATCTAGTTAACAGTAACTACGTAAAAAGAATCATAAAACGTAATCTGTTATTGTGGATTACAAACCACTTAGTCTATGTTATGTTTATAAAGTTTTATAATTCGAATATCAAATTCTAAATTATCATTTCATTATATCATTCCACTCGATTTCCCTTATTGAACATAGTTTATATTATTTTCTTTGATAATATATATATATATTATTTTTACAACAATTCCCTGATTTCCTTCATTGCCCACAATTATTCTTATTAATTACTAGCTGTTCTCGCGACTTCGTCCGCGTTGGATATAACTTTATTTTTCTAAAATGAAACTAGCCTTGCCTTATTACATCACCTAAGTACCATTAAAAGACCCGTCAAAATCGGTCCAGCCATTTCAGAGATTAGCCGCTCCAAAATTATAAAAAATGTTATTTTGATGTATGTATCGTATATATATTCATATGCATGTAGTAAAAACGGTTATTTCAATATTACAAACAGACACTCCAATTTTATTTATATGTATAGATAATAAATTAACATTTTATGTGTCTTTTTACGTTGTTGTTGTTTAAAAAATAATTACTACACAGGTAATGTTTGGTGTAGAATTTTTTTTTTTTTGAATCAGTGAAAGCCATAATAAAAATTCTTATTTTTTATGTAAATGAATTCATCAAAAATATTCCGCCATCACGTAAGGCTCGTAATATCTGAGGTACCACTCGTGAGGGCTTGAATGTTATACCTCTAACTTAGATTTCCACTGCCATATGTCAACGTGCACAGGACTCTCAGGAATTCTCACTATAAATAGTTTACAAAGTAAGCAGCTTGATACCTTTACATTACACAAGAAATGTAATCACTTTATACAAAGTATAGTCTCAAGTCTCACTCAATAATTAATATCATTAATTAATATGAACTTGGCCAGCATCTTAATAGTAGGTTATCTTCCTTACACGTGGAAACATTATTATATTGCCCAAGACTTTAAACCAGATACACATATATTTAACGAGTTTATAGTTTTAAATTAGTGATAATATGTTAAATTAGTGGAATGTCTACCAAAAACGTTTTCTTTATAACTAGCTACTCACCCCGGCTTCGCACGGTACATGTATTACACATATAAATCATTTTCTTGAATTACTCTATCTATTAAAAAAAACCGAACCGCTTCAAAATTCATTGCGTAATTTGAGAGATTTAAGCATACATATGGACGGACAGACAGCGATAGCGACTTTGTTTTTAATGGAATGGTGCAACCACCTGCGCTAACAGTGTACGCTGGCGGGGCACCAGTGGAGTATAATAAGATGATAATGTGGTGAGGTCAGTTAGTCCATCGTAGCAAAATCACCAGGATTTTACTACGGTTTCCAGGAGGATCGCGTGAAGTTCAACATGACATAATACTTAGCAATAGATTCCTAGTCCAGATTACTAACAATCCACTTCCCTCTACCAAAGACGGTTAACATTGACAATCAGGTAAATACTGAACTTGGCTTTAAAACTTTGTATCAACAAAAAAAAATTGCATAACAACACAAAATGACTTTCACCGAGAAAAGGCAGATGTAACCATCGAATTTATAACATTGTAATGATACTGACCATACTCGCTCCGAGTATAAATAATTGTCTCATTCTATATCCGAAGCTTATTGATACTTTCTTTTTTTTAATCTATGTAGTTGTATCTGTTATTTGATTATGTATAACTAGATTTTACTTGCGTTTTTAATATTTATTTAAAAGTAAACACAACTATTTACAAATAATAGAATAAATAAGAAATAAAAAATATCATGCAAAGTTGTCAATAGGAGCTGCCTCAGCTGTTGCTGATATAAGTAAAACGGCAATGAGGTGCACCTATACAGCGCTGGTTTACAGGCAGCCCCCATTACTCATTAAAAAAATACTAATATATATGTTTTGAATTAATATCTATGTACACATATATGTACACTTACATATAACTTTATGATATTTAGGACAACAACAATTATTAAACAAACTCTGGGATGTATATACAAAAATAAATATATATAAAATGTATTACAATACTCAGTGCAGGATAAAAACCAAAATCAGTTGCAATAACAGTGTCCAAAGGAAAAAAAATACAATATAACGTTTACTCTTCTTTTACAGATCCAAGGGTACAAGGATGGTTCCTGTTCGACACGCCTCTCCCCACACTTGCCATGGTGATAGTTTACCTGTCAATTGTGATGGTCATCGGCCCACTATGGATGACCAACAGGAAACCATACAAAATACAAAACACTCTAGTAGCTTATAACGCTGGACAAGTTCTATTGTCGTCCTATATGTTTTATGAGGTAAATACTTTATTTATTAATTTATTTTAGATAATTAACAGCTTATTTACAATTTATACACGATATATAGTTTTACATAGTTTGTAAAGCCAATAAAATATTCTATTCTATTCTATTCTCAAGAATTATCTTTGTACTAGCTTTTGCCCGCAGCTTCGCTCGCGTTAATTTAACCCTTAGGGGTGGAATTTATCAAAATCCATTCTTAGGGCATGCTTACGTAAGTAGCTTTATCCATGGAAAGTCTAAGCCCGATCGGTTTAAAATTGACAAAGTTTCATACAAATTTTCATCCCCTATTTTATCCCCTTGGAGGTAGAATTAATCAAAATCGTTTCTTAGCGGATGCCTACGTCATAACATCTACCTGCATGTCAAATTTCAGCCTGAACCGTCTAGTGGTTTGGGCTGTGCGTTGATAGATCACTATGTCAGTCACCTTTGAGTTATATATATTTAGATTAAACTTATATGTAAGTTAGTTATTTAAACAAAAATTATACAGTTAGACAGGTTAGAGCCAAATACAAAGAACAGAATAGGATGAATATAATTAGTAGATACCGTTACATTATAATACATAAGAATAATCTTTATATACATACATACATACATACATATAACAATGTGTTTCTGTGTATCAGCTAAAAATATTGTCATGACTTTCCTAAGTAGGTACTTACTACATATATATATGTAACAAGTATGTAAAAAAAAATACTTATATTTATAACCTTTACCTTTTAGACTTAAGTTCAAGGATTATGTACAACCGGATATAGAATAATACAAATGGAAGGAGTACCCTGACCTAATACGGATATAGTGCTTAAGTAATTAGAGATAAGTATAGTTCTGTAATTGCATTGTGTTATACCTACCAAACCAAGTACTGACTATGAGTGAAATCAACTTTTAGTTGAATTTCTTTCTTTATAGTGATAGAGACAGATCTTCGTACAGAATATATAGAGATAGATTGGTACAGAATTTTGCCTCTAGGTTTATTTTTCACACCGTACTTTGTTCTCATAATTGTATAAATTCTAAAGCAAAATCCGGATAAATTGAATCCTTATGAACATGCTCAAACGTATATTTTATATATTATAAGGAATAATCTGTACTGACTCTGACAACTCACCATTAATTAGACAGCTGAACTTAAAGAACGAACATTAACAAGAGAACAAGGCTGGCTAGTATATTCAATACATCTATTGTAGAACATAATCAAAGCAAACACTTGCTATAAGGCGAGTCACAGACTCGGTCATCCTCTTTCCTTTAAACAATTAATTTAATACTAACTCCCATCCCTACGGAAACTTCAAGATATTCTCTGATACTCAACCATATACTTTATGGACGATTTATTCAGAATCCCATACTTCTAGACCCCTAATGTGCAAGAAGGTTTATTAAGATTTTGCAAAAAGTTTACTCAAAATGTTATGTTTCTAGAGCCAAAAGTTTAAGCTGTTAGTTATGTACAGATCGACAATAAACAGGCTAATGCTACCAGCTTACAATACGCTAGCACTAAGACAATTTTCTATGTCAAGGCAGGTTGTTAACTCATTTACCAACTTACTCAACCAGCACCGTGACATTAGGCGCCAACAATAGACTGTAACGTAGTAGGATTGCGTTTATTTTGCCAATCATGGAATATTGATCAATTTAACATTAGTCTGATAATGTCTTTCTTGCTGTGGTTTTGGCATTTTACGTGTAATATTTTTTGTCAGATAGATGCTGGTAGATCATTTTATACATAGTGGTAACTATTTATAATCTATACATATTAATAAAACTGCAGTGTCTATTTCTAATATTGAAATAACCGTTTTTATTACATGCATATTAATATAAATACGGTACATAGACCAACATAACATTTTTTACAATTTTTACATTTAGTAGTTCGTGCACTGGATTTTCATTTAACATTACACATATATATATATATATATATATATATATATATATATATGCATAAAATTTTAATACAATGGCTTTAAAAAAAAGAAATTCCTTTGATTTTCCTGAGAGATTTTCTCAATTGAATCTATATACTAAAAACAAAATACTAATAAACATATTGACGTTGATAAGCGGCTAAGTTGTCCTACATAAATAAATGATTTTTGTATTTGAATTATAGTATATAAAACGTGAATGAAGCTATTTAATACAGAACGGGAGAAAAATTAAAACCTGTTTACTAATGTTGCATCATTAAGCTAAGATAGAATTACTGGTAGTAGATAGTCAGAAATTACAAGATTATCACTTTCCTATTAGCATACGGAACCTGCGATGCGTGAAGTACGTTCACACTTGACCGACTACCTGTTTTCGTAATAACCTGGCGTTTTCCCGATCTGTGGACGTAAGGCAATAGGCCAAGGAAATAGTTTGGAATAGGTTTTGTATTAGATTATGTGAGATTTATAATAAAAAAATAAATAAGAGTAATAAATAGTCTTGGAACATTAACACAGCGCCATCTAGTCCCAAGCTAAGCAGAGCTTGTGTTATGGGTACTAGACAACTGATATAAATATTTAGATAAAACATATGAGGTAAATACTTTATTTATTCATTTATTTGAAGTAATTAACAGCTTATTTACAATTTATACACGATATATATATATAGAATAATATATTCTATTCTATTCTATTCTCAAGAATTATCTTAGTACTAGCTTTTGCCCGCGGCTTCGCTCGCGTTAATTTAACCCTTAGGGGTGGAATTTATCAAAATCCATTCTTAGGGGATGCTTACGTCATAATAGCTTTATGCATGGAAAGTCTAAGCCCGATCGGTTTAAAATTGACAAAGTTTCATACAAATTTTCATCCCCTATTTTATTCCCTTGGGGGTAGAATTAATCAAAATCGTTTCTTAGCGGATGCCTACGTCATAACATCTACCTGCATGTCAAATTTCAGCCCGAACCGTCTAGTGGTTTGGGCTGTGCGTTGATAGATCACTATGTCAATCACCTTTGAGTTATATATATTTAGATTAAACTTATATGTAAGTTGGTTATTTAAACAAAAATTATACAGTTAGACAGGTCAGAGCCAAATACAAAGTACAGAATAGGATGAATATAATTAGTAGATACCGTTACATTATAATACATAAGAATAATCTTTATATACATACATACATACATATAACAATGTGTTTCTGTGTACCAGCTAAAAATATTGTCATGACTTTCCTTAGTGGGTACTTACTACATATATATATGTAACAAGTATGTAAAAAAAAATACTTATATATATAACCTTTACCTTTTAGACTTAAGTTCAAAAAAACCGGATATAGAATAATACAAATGGAAGGAGTACCCTGACCTAATACATATAGTGCTTAAGTAATTAGAGATAAGTATAGTTCTGTAATTGCATTGTGTTATACCTACCAAACCAAGTACTGACTATGAGTCAAATCAACTTTTAGTTGAATCTCTTTCTTTATAGTGATAGAGACAGATCTTCGTACAGAATATATAGAGATAGATTGGTACAGAATTTTGCCTCTAGGTTTATTTTTCACACCGTACTTTGTTCTCATAATTGCATAAATTCTAAAGCAAAATCCGGATAAATTAAATCCTTATGAACATGATCAAACGTATATTTTATATATTATAAGGAATAATCTGACTCTGACAACTCATCATTAATTAGACAGCTGAACTTAAAGAACGAACATTAACAAGAGAACAAGGCTGGCTAGTATATTCAATACATCTATTGTAGAACATAATCAAAGCAAACACTTGTATAAGCGAGTCACAGACTCGGTCATCCTCTTTCCTTTAAACAATTAATTTAATATTAACTCCCATCCCTACGGAAACTTCAAGATATTCTCTGATACTCAACCATATACTTTATGGAAGATTTATTCAGAATCCCATACTTTTAGACCCATTAGGGGTGCAAGAAGGTTTATTAAGATTTTGCAAAAAGTTTACTCAAAATGTTATGTTTCTAGTGCCAAAAGTTTAAGCTGTTAGTTATGTACAGATCGACAATAAACAGGCTAATGCCACCAGCTTACAATACGCTAGCACTAAGACAATTTTCTATGTCAAGGCAGGTTGTTAACTCATTTACCAACTTACTCAACCAGCACCGTGACATTAGGCGCCAACAATAGACTGTAACGTAGTAGGATTGCGTTTATTTTGCCAATCATGGAATATTGATCAATTTAACATTAGTCTGATAATGTCTTTCTTGTTGTGGTTTTGGCATTTTACGTGTAATATTTTTTGTCAGATAGATGCTGGTAGATCTTTTTATAGATAGTGGTAACTATTTATAATCTATACATATTAATAAAACTGCAGTGTCTATTTCTAATATTGAAATAACCGTTTTTTATTACATGCATTTTAATATAAATACGGTACATAGACCAACATAACATTTTTTACAATTTTTACATTTAGTAGTTCGTGCACTGGATTTTCATTTAACATTACACATATATATATATATATATATATATATATATATGCATAAAATTTTAATACAATGGCTTTAAAAAAAAGAAATTCCTTTGATTTTCCTGACAGATTTTCTCAATTGAATCTATATACTAAAAACAAAATACTAATAAACATATTGACGTTGATAAGCGGCTAAGTTGTCCTACATAAATAAATGATTTTTGTATTTGAATTATAGTACATAAAACGTGAATGAAGCTATTTAATACAGAACGGGAGAAAAATTAAAACCTGTTTACTAATGTTGCATCATTAAGCTAAGATAGAATTACTGGTAGTAGATAGTCAGAAATTACAAGATTATCACTTTCCTATTAGCATACGGAACCTGCGATGCGTGAAGTACGTTCACACTTGACCGACTACCTGTTTTCGTAATAACCTGGCGTTTTCCCGATCTGTGGACGTAAGGCAATAGGCCAAGGAAATAGTTTGGAATAGGTTTTGTATTAGATTATGTGAGATTTATAATAAAAAAATAAATAAGAGTAATAAATAGTCTTGGAACATTAACACAGCGCCATCTAGTCCCAAGCTAAGCAGAGCTTGTGTTATGGGTACTAGACAACTGATATAAATATTTAGATTTTTTTTTGTAAATACATACATAATATATATAGAAAATACCCAGACCAATACAAACAACCATACTAATGAATACAAATATTTACACCGAGCGAGGAATCGAACCCGCAACCATCGGAAGTAAAGCGGTGTGGTAAACCGCTAGACCACCGACGCCGTCTATTTAATAATTAATTAATAATAACTCTACCAATCACACAACAGTATCTCAAACTAAGCCACTGAAATAAAAAAAAAAACACATTTTTTATATCATCTTTATCTGATCTTCCTTATCCCATTTATTAGTGGTCGGCGTAATATGTCTTTCTCTTCTATTCATCCCTGTTCGCAGTCATCTCGATATTTACTCGCTTTCTTACCATATCTTCTTTCACACAGTTTGTCCATCTCTTTTTCGGCCTTCCTCTATCCTTATAACCACATTTATATGTTCCTTACACACCTTGTAAGTGTTAGACTCGATTAAGCAGTAAAACTACTTATTAAGAGGCATGATATCTGTTTTTTTTTGTAGAATAACCACGTATGAGTATAACATATAACCACGTATAACGTGATGTCAGTATGTATATAATCCTTATGAAATTTAAAAAAATAGGCCAAAAGGATGTCGCCACAAAGGAAGCGGCAGATATTACTATAAAACTTTACCACTTACCATGGAGTAGGTCATAAGCTATTCTAGTCTATAAAAAACAAAAACAAAATTCTTAAAGCGATAAATGATTTTATACTATTCGTGTTGATGTTACTTTTTTTAATCGTTTGGGAAAGTAAGTCATAAGAGTCGTCCCCCTATTAAAGAAGGTGTTGATTTTACTAACTTTTTTTTTTCGGACTACTCTAATGCTGTTGGCCGCAGCTGGCCTTTACAGCTTCACCGGACATTAGGCGGCGAGTGCAGATGGCACTCCAAACCCGCGGAAGGACTTATGGAGCGGCTGAAGGCCAACTCCGAAGACTTTAGTCTGAGGGCAAGAGAGGCCGTCGTACGATTGAATTGGACGGGGGATCGATCGGTGGGGATTTTACCTACTAATATTTTTTTTTGTTTCATGTTGGTAGCACTTAATGTCGGGATGGTGGGGAGACTACAGCATCGCGTGCCAACCGGTGGACTACAGTGAAAATGATCAAGCGAGAAGAGTAAGTACATTCATTTATTTACTTTTTCAGATTTAGAAAACAAAATGGGCGATTTAAAGATGTAAGAGAGCACGCAAACTGAACCTAGAATATACCGCTAGTTGCAGGATAATCGTTACATAGTATAAAACAAAGTCGCTGTCGCTGTCTGTCCGTCCCTATGTATGCTTAAATTTTTAAAACCGCAACGGATTAGAAAGCGTTTTTTTAAATCGATCGAGACTGATTCAAGAGGAAGATTATATACTGACGGTCTGGACTGGTCTGTTCGGGTTCTGAACACTGATTAAATTTTTTGTTCTTTGCGATGGCATATGCTGGTGGTCACTCTATTCTCCCAAATTTGAATTTTAATGACTGTATTATTGCAAACATGTACAACATTTATTTGAAAAGAATACGAGCTGAGTTTCATGTCAGTTCTTTTCATGTTGAAAGTATTCCGAACTGACGGTAGATTTGCCATATCATAAGAGTCTGTAATAGACCTACATGAATAAAGATATTTTGAATTTGAATTTGAATTTATATATAATACATAACATACACCTGTGCGTGTCGGGGCGAGTAGGTAGTAATATATAATTAATGCTTATAATAAATTGGCACTAGAATCTTCAATAATGCTACGGTATTTTGAAAGGCTAGTCAGTCAAGACTGAAGATAATGTTTTGATGTAAGCCGATTCGCGTGATGAAATAAACGGTACGAATTAAGTATTTATATTTAATTTGACAGCCTCAATTGCCTCTGCTTTACTTTCGATGGCCGCTGGTTCGATTCCTCGCACGGTGCACACATTTGTATTCATGAGTATGCCTGTTTGTATCGGTCTGGGTGTTTTCTATGTATATTTTGTATGTATTTACAAAAAAAAATATTAAGTATTTATATCAATTATGTAGTACCCATAAAACAAGCTCTACATAGCTTGGGACTAGATGGCGCTGTTTGAATTCTGCGCATCTCTGTCCTGAGGTTATTATATTATTATTATTATTATTATATTAGTAAAATTATTTGTTATTTTTTTCTAATCTATTTTTTAATTGGGCACACTTTCACAATCCACTGTCACACCATCGTTCCTTCATCATTCATCACTATCAAAATAATATACGCTTCAAGTTTACTACAGGAAGGAAGTAGATATTTGCATAACGTGTTTAGGGTCCCTTGCCTCAAAAAACTTTCACAAGATCACTTTGTCTTCGCACTGAGAAGTTCGAACATTAAAAATAAGTTGCTCTATTCTACTGTATTTTTAAATATCGAATTAATTCGATCCAAAACAGATTAATAATAACTGTAATATAGTGCTGTAATCTTCGGAGAAAACTTCGAGATCTGTAGTTTAGACTCCAAACTCTTAACTTATGCATATTGTATTGTAAGAATGTGTGTAGAGAAAATTACAACCATTTATACTGGGTTAATTGTAAACGCAGTAGAAGGGCATTGATAGTATTTTTAAATCTAAAAAACTTTCACAAAGCATTAATATGGACATATAAAAATATTTAAAAAAATTTACAAACTTTGTAATCACTCCATCAATTTTATATGAAAAATACAAAGTTTCTTTTGAGATTTTCACTTTGTTTATTAGTGAAAGTGATTTGATTTGATTCATATTCTATCTTGCTGCTAGCTTATACTCGACTGACTCTATAAACGTTCCCAAACTGAAGAAAGACCAAAAATGTATATTTTAAACCCTCAAATGTATATTTAAGTTACTTATTCATAATATACAAAACCTAATATCACAATAGCAGCTATTTAGAGAGTTATCAAGAGATGTCTTTTGACAAAACCGATTCACAGTTTTTTTTTAGTACAGAACCCTCGTTAGGCAAATACTATTCGCACTTAGCAAAGTTTTTGTTATTTAGCGACACAAACCATTCGAAACCCAAGTTGTAGTCACTCTTGACCACATTTTTTATATTATACAAGATATAGGCGATATAGAAAGTAACGCTTTGCACAGTCCGCCGTGTGAGATGACCATAGATTAGAAGCGAGTTAAGCTCAGATGTTACGTCAGCATTTTCTAATGGCATACAATTATGAACTTTCGTAGCCACTTTTTCACATTCTGATACACAACAACGAGTTTTGTTTTGACAAATTGTTTTTTTGTATTTGACAGATTTTTTAAAGAGGTTACTTTAAGTTTTGTGTGCGTGTTAAACGCGATATTTATTTACAAAATACTTTCGCTAAACAAGTGCAAATATACTTTTTGCAATCTATGACATATAAATGGGTATAATTATTAATACAAACCTTACAAAAGTTAAAAATAAAATTTAATACTTACGTTTTGACTTCGGAGAGCTACCTATATTTAAAAATGGTCTCTATCATAAAAGTATTAAGAAATTAGAGGTTAGATTATTTGTGAATCTTGTTGTATGTATAGGTTTCATATACTACACAATGTTTTTACTAACTGTGGACTATTAAATAACCTCAGTATAGATGCATTATATCTACTGCTGACTAAAATGATGCTGATTGTAATACTAAAATTCGGATTCGGAGGAAGAGAATTGCTAGTAATGTGGACCAATGACTCCAATGTTTCATGTCAAGTTGACCTCTACACGGTTCCCCATTTAAACCATCATGATTTATTTGTGAATTTAGCATGTTGGGTTAACCTGATCGCATGCTCATCGTATCATACTCTACTCATGCACTGCTAGTTACCGTTAGCGCAGTCGAGTTCTCCCTACCATATTTTTTTATTCTTTATTGCACTTTAAAAGAGTGTACAAGAGGCGAGCTTAATGCCATATGGCATTCTCTACCAGCAAACCTTTGGGTAGAACTAAAAAACGTTGTAGGGCAGTAATGGCGAAAATTTGTGATATTAATACTGTAATGAATAATTAGCTAAACAAAATCTGTGGATCATATTCAGGAATTAAAAAACAAAATTCCTGTTTTATATATCAGATGCGGCAGCGACATATTTATATTATTTAATTAGTTAATATTGTCTCACAGAGACATTTGGTCGTAGGCAAATAAATAGCGATATATAGCCGTTCAGACCCACTCGTACTCTATGACCCAGTGCGTCGGTCAAGTTCACTCAATGGCACCGGCTTCATGGCATACTTAAACGACTTTCGAACGTTTGTCTATGTTACTTCGGAAATATAAAAGAGAAATCAATAGCTATTGTCGTTATACAACGTCATATAAAGGTGCGGCGACTTCCGTCTTTCTATTTTCTCAAAAAAACTATTACCATAATTTTGACATTTTTTAATGTTACTATTATTATGTTTTCATTTTCTTATATATGCAATTTAATATTCGATACCTAATGTTTCAACCTACATGTATAGATTACTAGAATATATTATGTGAAAATAAATAATCTTCTACATAATGAAATTTGTATTACAACAAGCTGATATCTGAACAATATAGATATTTTAAAGCCTATATTTTAAGTTAGATCTCTACTAATACCTTACCTACATACATTTCAAACGGTATTTTTTAGAATATATTAAGTGTAAAGTTATAGTAATATAACTTTACTATATTGCTAGAGGTCTAACTTAAAATATAGGCTCAATTTACCTCAAGACAATATATCACATCGTGGACAGTAAGGATAGGTTGCAAACTAATATCATACCATTAAGTTTAATATTTTGTTTATTATATGCGTATATTATATTATTATTTGTTATGGAAATAAATAATTTTTAATGTACATAGGTATTATGGGAGTACTGGGAGGAAAAGAGACTGTGGAAAGTGCCCGCTAGTTTTTGTGCATGATAAGTATGTGGGACTGTGTGTAGGACGCTGGGGTCGGTGCAGCCAACGATGGTAGTAATTAAAGGTGAAATATGAAAGAGTATGTATGAAAGTAAGAGGCAAGAGCAATGAAAATGGAATAATAACAAAACCATAGTAACCAAATATTCATATAAAAATATTTAAAAATAAGGAATGTCGCGCCAGCCAGCGGCCCGAATGTATGGAGTCCTGTATAATAAGGATAAAACCTAACACCTTCTTCCCAAATGTTACTTTTATACATTTATACTAAATTTCATTATAATTGGATGGACTCTGTAAACAAACGAACAAACAACATATTTTATTAGGGGGGAAAGGGGATTGGTAGTATTGTGGACTGATGATCTTATTGCTAGCAATGTACCACGTCAGATTGACCTCCACGCGGTTCCCCCTGGAAACCATCGTGATAAATTATTGGTGAATTTGTCACAATGCGCCAACTGACCTGACCACATGCTCATCTTATCATCCTCCACTGGTGCCCCGCCAGCGTAAACCGTTAGCGCAGGCGGGAGCACCATTTCATTATCATCCGTAAAAAAAAACAATGGATATATTTTATTAAATAACCGTCATAGTATTAAATCTCAATTACAAATAATATTTATCTTGATCAGTTATCATCTGAATGCAGTTATAAAAACCGGCACAAAGAGAACGCCGTCAAAGCCTCATTATAACTTATTGTCTATAGACACAATTACAAATGTCACATAGTAATTGTTATTTTCATATGAAATTGCACCTAATTACAAAGAGTTTAGTCATGAATTATAATCGCCTTTTGTGTTGTGTATCACGAATTGAAGCTTCATTACTTACCGAGGTAGATTTAGTGAAAACTTTCTTTTGGTCTACGTGTACCTGATATATTTCAGCTGCCAAAATCATGCTATTTCCGATGTTTTTCGGTTCAAAAAAGGATTGAGTTATGAGTTTTTATAAACATTTACCTCCTTGGACAGTTAACATAAGTTAGTCAAATTTTAAGGTAGTTTAACCTTTTTGGATACATCGTACATTCCTCCTAATCTCCAGTCTAATCCATTATCAGATTGTTTGGAATGGCGTCGAAATATCGGAAACTTTCTTATTGTAAATATTTCAATTACATAACTAATAAAAATATGGACTGGTAGTAGAGTTAGCCGGTGTTATGTAG